ACACTTGATTAATAAAGGTAGATATTGGTTTCTGTAAAGTTAGAGTTCTGTGTAAGGCAACACTAATAGCAAGTGTAATGATAAAAGTATGCTGGTGTAGGCTTTAAGAAAGCTTTATTCAACTGAGAATACAAGGCCTGCATATAGTGTCCTTTTATAGTCCCAGTAAACAGAAAGAGGAAAGTAACAAAACAAGGGGAGACCACTCTTGATTATTCATAGTGGCAAGTATTAACTAACTAGTTTATAAATATTTAAATTAGACTACTTTTGCTGCATATTTTTTTATATTTTTGCAGAAATATTTTCTTTAGAATCTGTAAATTCATATTATCATTCCCTAATTATTCTCATTTCAACCTTTTAGAATTTGCTTCATATAAATTTTGCATTTAATTTAAAGAAGCCATTAATACATGCAATTTCCTTGAACAATTCAACTGCAGCCAAGAAAGTATTATCTAGGAAGATTAAAGATGAAAACAAATCGATTTCCAGTTATGATTGTAGATAAGTGAAATGTATGGAAAAACTTTTTATGGTCCTTCCATATGAGTAGGTTCATTAAAAACAAAGGTTCTTGTGACAAATGATAAAAAACCCCCACTTAATTGAGAATAGAAAAATGTGTTAAATAAACTAAGGTAGAAATAAAGAGATGATGCAGATATGGATATAAGAGAGAGAGAGAGAGCAGTGAATGTTGCCATTCTTAGAGCTCTTAGATCAATCAGTATGAGGTTCTTGTATCTGTGGTCCAATATCAGACACATTCAATCTTACTAAATCTTTACAGCCAGCAAGCTAGATGGATGTGGTAGTTGAAGATTTCTAATGGACTCTCATGGTTATTGTTCTACAAGAAGCCTGGATTTGAAATACTGATTTTCATGAAATGCTGATTTGATTTTTCTAAGAGGGACACAACGCATTTTCATTTGGTTCTGTCACACTCTCCTCTTTGTCAGTCTCTTGCCAAATATATATATATGTGTGTGTGTGTGTGCGTGTGAGTGTGTGTGTGTAATTGTATGTGTGTCAGTGTTTATCACAGCCCAGCAGGGTGCAATATATGTTGAAATGGTGCTGAAAAGTTCTTGGCAATTCCCATTACCAATATCTGACGAAGTATCAAAATTCTGAGGGATAGGCTTCTTGATTAGACAGAGAATTTTTCAGCATATCCTTAAAAAGAATTCTATGATCTATCTAGTTTCTTAGCTCTCTCTCTCTCTCTCTCTCTCTCTATATATATATATATATATATATATATATATATATATATATAATGTTTTTTTATGTATAGTATATATTAAATACAGTAAAATTTTGCTATTCGAATCAATGTTTTCATAATAATATTATTATTAACTAACCAACATTGTTAATATATTATATAAAGTTCAATGACTTAACTTTTATTCATTTATTTGCTATTAATGCTATACATGTTAATATTGAGCACTTTATTTGCAAAATATGCTTGCCTTAAATGCATTCTCCTTTTTCAATTCACTGGTTTTATGGGGTGTAAACCATCTCCATTATTTTTAATTATAAATATGTACATATAGATATTGTGTATCCTGTTATTTAGTATATTTATATTTCTAACACACACACACACACATATATATATATATATATATATATATATATATATATATATATATATATGGACATTAAGGACAAGACCCAGCTGTTGGGTGTTGATCTCAATGTCCACATTTATATTTACATACACTCTATACCTGATATTGAGCACTTTAACCCATAAATATAGCATAACTTAAAACTATATTTTTATCATATATACATATATATATATATATATATATACATATATATATTGCATTGTAAATTATTAGCGTATTGTTTTCATACACACACTCACACACATATATATAGATGATTCTTTTAAAAAAAATATAAATATCTCACCTGCTACTGCTGTTTCACCTTTTAGATCTGATCTTCAGGCAGCTTTAGTTATCTTTTGTTTTTTATCTCATGCTATTTCCTTGTTCAATATATACTAACACCATTCCACTTTGTATCACTGCTCCACAAAAAACTGTATATCTTCTTTTGCTTTTTTATTTAATTCTTAACATTAATGTGGGAAGGGAGTGTTTCTTTAATTTTCTTTTCACCATTTTGTTTGTAGAAATTTCCCTTTCAATCTACATTTCACTATAATCTTTTATCTTTTGTTCAGCAAGTTATTATCATCTTTGGACATTGCTACTGCTAATTTATCCTTCAAGAACAACCTGCAAAATTTTGATATTTTTTTTTCCATACCTCACAGTCATTTTAAGTATGCTCGATTTGACTGTTTTAGTCATATTTTCCCCTTTGATTCCTCTATCTACCTTGATAATACAGTACTACTTTTGTATTGGAATTGAAAATTAAAGGAAAGAAGACCTCTTCAATAACAATTCAATAAGTAAAAAAAAAAGTAAACATGCAAATTTTTTTTAGCAGCATAGTAGCATAAAAGTAGTATATATCAAACTAGAAAGTGTCATGAGATATAAAAATAGCTGAAATTGACCGAAGATCCAAAAGTTGAAACTACAGTAGTGGATGAAGTTTTTATTCCTTTTTTTTTTTTTTTTTTTTTAAAGAAATTTCTTTTTAATCAATTCACGCCAATCAAGGTGATAATGCTACTAAGACACAAGGGGTTACTGGGAGTGAATAATAATGAGAAAACTTTAGAAAGTACTTGAAACCCAATCCTAACTTGGAAATAAGGGATAAACCTTTATTCCTGTTCAAAAGGCCAGAGAGGATTTTAAACCAGATTATGGGCAAACCTATCTACTCTTGTTGTTCTTGGAATTGCTATACAGTTTGATTGGTGAGAACTTTTTTTTTTTAGAATTGACTAGAACTGGTCACTTTCAGAATAGGTTTTGACTCATAATTAGTTTAAGTGAATTGATATTTAATATATATATATATATATATATATATTATTATACTAACTTAAAAACTGTCCTTCAGCTAGCTCCTGTGGAGAGTTCTTAATTGGGCCTTCATCACAATAGGTAGGGAGTAGTAGATGCAATAGGCAACAATAAACTATAGAACTCAAAACTGATTGCTTACCTTTTAAAAGTTCAATGATAATTCTTTTGCCGCCACTTAATTTAAGACAGTTTGATATATGTAGGTTCTTACTTTCTATACAAACAATTATTTTTATTTCATGGGTGACTTTTGCTGGATTTTGAAATTAATTTTAATTAATTTTAAATTTATTTCTAAGTTATAATAATTGTTATCTTAATAACATTTGTCAGAAAAAAATCACATAAAAAATTGGCAAAAACAAGCATTGAAAAATTGGGGATGAAAAATTTCAGGATTGCGGGTCTGGATCCAGCTTGGAATGCTTTTAATTTGGTCACAGAATCAGTCTGATTCCAAAATGGTATGATATGTTGGGCTATGGCCTCTAGGGTAAAGTGGAAAAAACAGACAATTTTATTTTGAAACATTGTAATTTGAGAACAATAATTTTTTCATTTGAACATGAGCTATTGAAAGTTAGAGAGTTGTGTCTCTTCAGTTTTATTAGTAGAAGCCAATATGGCAGTATCCAAAAGCAATTGCAGTAAGGAATACTTGGGAATCCAAAATTTCAGGATTGCAGGTCCAAATCCAGACTGGAATGTTTTTAATTTGCTCACGGAGTCAGCCTGATTCCAAAATGGCATGATATTTTGGGCTATGGCCTCTAGTAGTAAAATTGAAAAAGTATAACATAGTGACACACTTACAGTTGCATTCATTTATATATATATATATATATATATATATATATATATATATATATATATATATATATATATATATGTGTATATATATATATATATATATGTGTATGTGTATATATATATATATATATATGTGTATATATATATATATATATATATATATATATATATATATATATATATATATATGTATGTATATATATATATATATATATATATATATATATATATATATATATATATATATATATATACATATACATATATATATATGTATGTATGTATGTGCATGTATGTATGTATGTATGTGTATATATATATATATAAGTTGTCATATACCTGACCCAGGTCAGTATGTCTGCTGAAGTTCTTAGTAGTAATTGCCAAAGCTATTTAAATCCTTTTTAGACATTAGAATATATTAGCTTAAGAAAATGGCTTTTCAAGAAGTCAGATGAAATTTTTGTTCACAAGTTTTACTCTCAAGCAGATAAAGATCCGTTTATCATTTGTGATGGCATGCAATTTTTAAAGCTTCAATAAACAATTGCATGTTCAATCATGAATGCAAAATTCTGAACACGTTTTTTAATGGTGATTTGTTTGCTTTAGCTTTCATTCTTTATTATTTTTCTTTATTTTTCTTTCATATTTCAACATTAAATTTGTTTTAGTCCTTTCCTAATTTCTCTCTCGAATGATTTTTTCTTTCTTTTTATCCTATTTCTTTTTCACTGTTTCTTTCTTTCTTTTTCTTTCATTCTTGTTCTTGTATTCTTTCTTTTGCTTTTATCCTTTCATTTTTTAAAATTTTTCCTCTTCTTTTTATTGCTTTTTTTTTCCTCTCACTTCTTCTATCTCTATCTTTGCTTTTTATTTTAGAAATATTAATTTCTTTCCTGCAATCTTATTCTTTATGGACTTTTGCTCCCATTTTATCTCATTTTTTAAAAATCCTGTTACACTTTTTTTATTTCTTTCTTATTTTTAAGGGTTTTTCACAGGGCATGGTGCGAAGGGGTAACTTTTTGAAATCTCTGCTTGGATGTTTGTTTGTTCTTTGTTTATTTTTTCTGTTTTATTTTTTCTGAATTAATTTCCAGCTTGTATAAAATTATTTTTTTTTATAATCTCATTTATTTTTTATTTCCAGGTTTTAACTTCAAGGAAATTCTACTTTGTTTTCATTGTCTTTAAAATGATTAATTCATGTATTTTCTCTTTAAAACATTATCTATCTATCTATCTATCTATCTATCTATCTATCTATCTATCTATCTATCTATCTATCTATCTATCTCCCTCAGTCTGTTCATTATCTATCTATCTATCTTTGTTCATATCTATATATCTTTGTTCATATCTATATATCTATCTATCTATGATCATATCTATATATCTATCTTAGTTCATATCTTTATACTATCTTTATCTATCTCCCTCAGTCTGTTCATTATCTATCTATCTATCTTTGTTCATATCTATATATCTATCTATCTTTGTTCATATCTATATATCTATCTATCTATGATCATATCTATATATCTATCTTAGTTCATATCTTTATACTATCTTTATCTATCTCCCTCAGTCTGTTCATTATCTATCTATCTATCTTTGTTCATATCTATATATCTATCTATCTATGATCATATCTATATATCTATCTTAGTTCATATCTTTATACTATCTTTATCTATCTCCCTCAGTCTGTTCATTATCTATCTATCTTTGTTCATATCTATATATCTATCTATCTTTGTTCATATCTATATATCTATCTATCTATGATCATATCTATATATCTATCTTAATTCATATCTTTATACTATCTATCTTTGTTCATATCTATCTCTTTATCTATCATATTTTGTTCACATCTTACACTGCATATATCAGTTGGTATCTTTGAATGTATACCTATTTTAATCTTTAATTAATTTTTTTATATTACTCAGTTTTTATTTATCAAAATCAGTCTCTCTCTCTCTCTCTCTCTCTCTCGATATCTATCCTTTCTTTCTTTTTCTTCAGTTTTCCAATTTCTCCTTTCTCTTAATGACTTCTTCCTCCATTCATGCCATTTATTTCATCCACTTTTAAATTATGTATTAATTATTTTTTTTCTTTTTCTTCATTATTAGAATAAACTATGTTTCGTTTACCTTCTTTTTTCCTCTCCAGTATCTCATTTTATTTGTTTTTATTCTAATTTTTTTTTTATTCTCACTTTTTCACAATTCTGACTTAATTTTTAAATTAATTTCTCATTTTTATCACATTTTTCCTTCCAATAGCATTTTTTCCTTTCAGAAATTAATTTTCAGAAGTTTGTTTTAATTTTTTATTTTCATATGTTTATTTTATTTTTGGTTGTTAATTCTGTGTTTTATTATTATTATTATTATTATTATACATAAATCATTTTTCTTTCTTTTTGCATATTCAGTTATACATGTAAAATTCCAAACACATTTTTTAATGTCTATTTGCTTACCTTTCTTTCTAATTTAGATATTACTTTTCTTTCATGTTATAGTCCTTTGCCCATAATTGGCTTTTCTCTTTTTGCTCCTGTTTCTCTTTTACCATTTCTTTCTTTCTGTTCTCATTTCTACCCATATTGATTTACTTTATCTTTGTTTTTTATTTAGTTTTAGATTATACTGCACCAATATTTCAAGTTTGGGAAAGAGTGTGCCTGTCTTGAAAACCCACATTTCACCTCTGCTTTTACCTGAGCTTAGACACCACCCTCTAGAATTAATGGTAAATATGCAACTATCTTACGTACAAAGAAAGTTCTTGTCTTCATCATTCATTTTTTTCTTTATCCCTGTAGTGAAATAAAAAAGTTAAATATTAAAAAAAAAAAATTAAAGAAAAGATGATTTAAATCAAAATCAATTTTATTTGCTTCTTTAAATTATTAAATTACAAACTATGAGACAAAATTCTTTCATAAATCCCATTATTGGAACCAACCCCTTCCTTATCCTCCATTTTGTTTTTCTTAACCTCTTCTTCAATGTCCAGCATCAATTTGAATAAAACATGAGCTTTTTCTTCAACCTTCATGGTTCACCAAACATAAATGACCCTGCCCTTGTTTTGAGATTGTTATTTTTTTAATTATTAATTCAGTTATAAGATCCTTGCAGTTTATCCATTTTGCTCTGGCCTGTAAAAGGTCCTATTATCTTTCAGACCTAATGGTGGGAGGTTCACCATTGAAGCTATAATAATACAATTTTTTTTTTCAATTACTCCTTTATTTTGTTTATTTGTAATTTTTATTTTATTTGAATAATTTATAAAATTTAAATAAAAAATATCATCAAATACAAGAAGAGAATATTCTTTTTATTTTATTGATTTATTTTTATTATTTTTTGTATTTTTTTTGTGAAGCAAGAAAATTATTCTAATTGTTTTTTCATCTTTAAATTATTTTTCTATTTTGGTTTAGTTCACACTTGATTGTTTAAAATAATTTATTCAGTTCAGATTTTTTTTAAATAAAAATTAATTTACAAAAATTGTTGGTGCAAATTTTGAATTTTTTTTATAATTAATTTTTTTGGTTATATTTTATTGTACCCTTAAACATGGTTTCTTCAAACCTTTAAGGGCAAAGAGTAAGAAAAGCTAACAAACGAACCAACAAAAAATAAATTTAAAATGAACTGGAGTTGACTGTAAATTATTTTAATTGATTTTTTTTAACTTTGAAAAAAATTTTATTAAATATTTTTAAAATGATTAAAAATTCCTCAGAAGCAAAAAGAACTTGAATAATTTATACAATTTCAAAAAGACAAAATAAATTTGGTAGTGGTGGTAGGGTCAGTTTCACTTTTTTTTCTAAATTACTATTAACCAGTTTTATTAAAAAAAAATATCTAAATTCTGCAAAAACAAGATGTTAGTGGAAATTACTTGACCTAACCCAATTCATAAAATATGACCAGATGACCAAACATCAGATTTTTTAATTTTTCAGCTTCTCGTTATAATTTGAAAATTTATTTGACTGTTTTAAATAACTTATGCAAATTAATGTTTTGTGTTTGTTTAATGTGCAATAAATAAATAAATAAATAGTAATTTTATTTTGACATTTTTATTTTAATGAATTTTAAAAATATTTTAAAGTCTTGTCTTTAATTTTTACTTCTTTCTTTTTAAATTATAATCATCCAGATATGAACATTTTTGTGTAAAATATTCTTGAAAATTATTTTGTCAATATGAGCTTTAAAAAAATTGAAATGACGATGTTGATGATCTTTTATTGGCTTTTTTTTATTATTTGTAAAGTCCTCCTCCACATCATCTCCAACAAAAAATATTTTCTCACTAGTCAATAACTCAATATCTGTTCGGAAACAATTCATGCGAAGAGATAAAAATCCCCAAACAGGGGAAAGTATGATAAAGAGGAGAAAAATTTAGAAGTTACTTCGCTTGTCGTCAGCCATTTAGCATAGATGTAAGCTGGAGGGTGAAATGGACATGACTGAATTCTGTAGGTACATATCAGCAGTTACAGTTCAGTGATTACACAATTCTTTAGTAATGACCAGTTTATGCACATGTGTTTAAATTCAAAGAATATTGCTTGAGGAGATTTTCAAAACAGCTTTTCAAATTTCTACTCGGTTTTGTCCTACTCTTTATCAAGAGTCAGGATTGGATCATATTTTTCTGAGATTCATTTTGAGTAAACTTGCTGAATGGAGCTATAATTAGTCACCATTCAAATGTTATTCTTTTGAGAAGATTGCCTTTCTGCCTTTTAATTATGTTCATAAGAGTTACTTTCAATGTATGATTTAAAAAAAACTTGTAAAATTATATGCTACCTTAACATAGTGTATATAACAAGAATTGATAACTTGCAAATGGTTTACAATAATTGTTCATCACAAAATTTCATTGTAAGTAAATTTTTATACTATTTACATTGTGTTGTAGCATACCTACAGATGATAATGAGTATGTACCCATTCACATAAATACAGTAGTAAATACTGTAGGTTAGTCTACAGTTGTAGATTCATTGTGGAATTCACTTGACTCACTTCTAGCAGTTGACTACTTCTTCTACATGCCACTGGCAAATCTTATATGTGTTGTTCTTGTCCTAAGTATTATTGTTCATTACCAACCTTTCTTTGATTATTCTATTCAGTAACCTTCCCTAGGTTACAACACATTGTTAGGACTGTTGTCCTCATCTTTATTGTCATATTTACATTGTTTTGGCCATTGTGAGTGCCAGCCTTCTTCAGGTGATATATGTCAAAGTTTTAGAACTGAACACATTATTTTGTCCACCGTAGTATATTGTCTTACTTCCACATACCATGCATTTTCTGAATATCTCAGTTTCAGTTATTTCCCTTTAGTAACTCAACTCAAGTTTTTGTTCACCTCTGCTGTGGCCAGGTATTGAACTCACAACTCTTTAGGTTAAGTCTCTGGATTACTTCAACCAATGCTTTATCCATTGGGTCATGTGTCCTTGGGGATATCAAAAGTCTATGAATGTTTGGGACTTATAAAGGGTTTGGTTCAAAATTCCAACATATATCACCTGAAGAAGGCCAAAGCATACAATGGCCAAAATGTCATGAATATGACAATAAAGGTGAGGGCAACAGTCCAAACAATGTAAATAGTGTAAATAGTTACAATAACTCATCTCAGAGATATAGACAGATGAATTTTTATAGTATTGCACTGTGATATGCTAGAGGAAAATCCTTGCTTTATCATTGAAATCAATCAAATGTTTTACTGCAGAATTCTGTTACCAAAGTACATTAATTTTTAGAGTAATCCATTGTGATCTTTTATTTTTATGTGCCTTGTCACTTCAGAATGTAGGTGATCATGGCTCTCCACAATTTCTTTCTGTTGTATTGTGTTGTTCTGCGACACATGATCAGTAGTCAACTTTCACCTTACTTACTTTACTATACACTCTATATCTCTTCTACATAATATATGCAAATAGGTACAATCGTATTTGCCAATCCATTACACCTCCCTGAACTGAAAACATTTAATGCCTTTGGTTGTTCTTGAACTTCTATGCTTTCCATGATAGCTCTTAGTAATGGTTGTCATTTTGCTATCTCTCCTAATCCCTGTTGTGCCAACCATTTACACAAGCTTGTTAGGTATGTTAAATGCTGCTTTCCTCTGTCCCTCTTGTCTTCAATATGTACTTTACTACCAAAGTACATTGTAAATTAATTTTTTAGAGTAATGAATTATGGCATGCTATAGAAAAATTCCCACTTTATCATTAAAATGAATCATATGTTTCACTACCAAACTATATTGTAGATAAGTTTTTAGAGTAGTCCATTGTGATATGCTACAGAAAAATCCTTGCTTTTTGACTGAAATGAATCCTGTTTTATTGCATAAGTTAACAACAAATTTAGTAAAGCTGATTTAATGTAGAAATGTATAACAAAAGCTTTGCAATAAAAACAAATAGATAAACTATTATATTGTTATGTTAACATTGTCAACTCTCCTTTGGAGTATAGGGTCACACTGTCAGCATGTTAAATGTCACTGCTCTGATTTCTGCGGCAAGTAAATTTTTACAGGATGGAATTGCCAGCCCCACATCTTCCCAGTTTTGAATTCAGAGTTGTCCTCTCTTAGACTGTTTGCTAACCAAAGCTAAAGAGCTCAGTCTAACCTCTGGCTGGTGGCCAAAGATATAGATTCATACTTTTCCAATGGTATTTTTGCGAAAATGAACACAACAGACCAGGCTGGAATTTGAATTCAACATGCCAGTTCCAATTTCTATACTGATAACCATTAAACTACATGTATATCCACTTACTATATAAGGTGCTTAAAAAGTTTCTGTCTCTCTTAAATAAGAAGTAAACAAAACAGTTTTCTGTGTATTGAGTCTCTAGTCTTAAAAAACAAGTATGCTAAGAACATTTGTATACATCTAATACATATAATGATGCTGTTCTTTCAGTAATGTTTACCTTAATTTCTGACCAGTGGCAATCCCTTTCTTTCTGATTTTTTATGCCTTTCTATACTAAAATAACTTACAA